ACGACGAGTACGTGTCCTACCTCATCGAGCGCCGCGTGGCGCTGCACACGCGCCAGCCGCAGATCGCCGTCATGCAGCGCGCCCTGGTACCTCACTGCACCCTCTCTCTCTCTTCTCCCCCCCTCCCCCTCTCTCCGTCTCCCCTTTCTTGATCTCTCTGCGTCTCTTATGTCTCTCTCTCTCTGCCATCCCTTTTTCTCTCCCCCTCTTTATCTTCCTGTCTGTTTCTTTTATCTCTCTCCCTCTAATTCATTTTCTTTCTCTGTTTCTTTCCTGTGCTGAACGACTATATCGTATCCAGGATGAGGAAGATGATCTATTGATGGAGGCGCGCGAAGGCGACGATGAAGGCGACATCGACGAGGAGGAGCCGGAACCGGAACCGGAGCCGGAGCTGGAGCCGGAGTTGGAGCTGGAGCAGGATCAGGAGTGGGAGTGGGCGGATGATGATGATGATGAGGATGACGCCGGCCCCGAGATTAAAAAAGCCAAGGTCAACTAGGCGGTAAACGATGCGGTAAGTTGTAAGAGCGGGCGCACATTTAACTAAACTATCGCACGACTGTTGTGTGACTGTCTATTTTTTTTTTCAGTCAATTCAACTGTTTAGTTACACAGATAAAAATCGAGTAGTGTGCGCACCTCCATATAAGCTCATAGCAATCACAGCGCGATTAAACAGTTATGCGATAGTTTATTCAAAGATGTGCGCGCGTTCTAAATGTTACTATATTTTGACGTTTTAATATATCGTCTTTATATGAGAACATAACGGAGTTGATACTTGAAATTAATCTTTTCTTGTTTTAGGTCTTGTAAAATAAATCTAAAATACTGGATTCTGACAAAGAAGTTATAACATAGAATAGTATTGCTGCGTGTTGTGATTAAATATCGATGTGTGTTAAATGTTTACAATTATAAGATATTTGTCTGTGGACATAACACATTTGTCTATGATTAAAAGATGTGAAGTGTATGCTTGTCATAAACATTTTTGGTTGAAATACTCGAAGTCATGGTTTTTTTTTTGAAAACATTTGATTTGATATCCTCCAAAACATTTGTCTAGTCACAGCGACTTTTAATATGAGTCTGGCCAAATATATGTTCACATAAAGGGTATTTATTATATAATAATGTTCTATGAATGTTGCCATGTAGAGCGTAAGGAATTTTTAGTTTAAAATCATTGACAAATTAACTACAAATTGTAGAGTAAAAATATTATTGAACTATGGTATGTTTAATAATAAGACTATTTAATATTAATTCTATTATTTGTGTAAACTTTATCTTTTAATGTAGTAACAGTTAAAATAAAGACAAATGTATTTTATTAAATAAAATGAGACAATTCCGATATTACGAAATTTGGTAAAATATTAACTCAAGATTTGTCTATGAATATTTATAAGACAATTTATAACGTTGCAGTGTTGCCATTTTAGCATCGATTTGAATTGTGGTAATATAGAGGAAACAGGGCACTTTATACACAGAATTAAAAATACACATTTTTTAGAATAAGTATTAAATTGTTTAAAACACAATATTTGAGTTTGCACGTATTAAGTTTGGTTGCTCACTTTATGTATACGAAGTTGTCGCTACGTTTGTTATTTTAGGCCGAAAGTTAGAGATTAATTTAAATTAAAATTAGATTGTAATTACAATTAAGATTCTTAGATGTAGTCACTGGATGATGTTAACTTCATATTAATGTCCTTATATGATTGAAGTTAATTGCATCTCGAACGGTTTTGATTCATTTTACCCTATTCTAAGTATTTTATATTCAGAAGCACAAACGTAATATTAGTTCGTCCTATGTAAGCTTTCTTTTTACAAATTTGTCTATGGTAACCTCTGTCAAAGTTGCCATGATTTTATTCATTTTCTTACCAAATGTATGTTACCGTAGTGAAGTCATTTTCCCTACAATTGTAACATTTATTTGTATTAATATTAACGTGCTTGTAAATATCGGCAAGGACAAAATGTTTGGTATATAAGATGTGCATATTAACTATATATTTTTAAAATAATATATTATTATCTTGATAATTAAAGATGGAAATATTTTCTTATTAATGTAAACATTCCACTGTTTTAGATCTTGTAATCTTTTTTGCTGTCGTTACAACGTTGCTTTTTCATTACATCGAGTTATTAAATCTGTTTGGTATTTCTTTATTAATCATTGGTTGGTGTTGCCATGTAAAAGGCCTAAGTCTAGCTAAATGTTGTAGGAAATGTTCGTTTCGTGGCATTCGATGTTGATGGCATTGCGATGTTTTGTGTTTGCTAGATTCCAAAAAAATACAATGCGCTTTCCACAAAATATGCTTTGAATTTTACGAATGATTGTGTTAAAAAAACACAGTCTTTTTCACGTATTCCTAAAATCAGATTTTATTACTTTTTTATGTGTAAAATCATTGTAAATATATAGATGCTACAGGATTATCCATTTATTGACATTGATGAAAAAGTGTATATTTTTGTATCGAGTAACAAACGCAGTGTACTTGCTCCGCCTTCGTTGGTTGCCTTACTGTTACGCTCCGGGCGTGTTCGCGTCCGGCCCTCGGCTCTCTGTTATTGGAAATTATAAAGGTATATAACTACTCAAATACATTCGAACCTGGACAAGCGAGAAAATATCGCGCTTTTACACGTACGACTGTATATATAAATAAAACTATATAATATAGAACAAAACTGTCAATAGTGCCTACCACAGAGTTGGAAACGTGTAGATTTCAGTTATCATAAATTCATATAACAATTTTCGTTGAAATTCAAAGAATTTTCGATATATCGTTTTTTTAAGCTTTTAATGAAGCCCGTTTTAGAGTAACAATTAAAGTATATCTTACTAATATTATATGCGAAAGTTTATATTAGTTGCTGCTGAATGGACCTGGACGTAATTTGCAGCAATTGGCTATTTATGATACTGTTACATTGATTCCGCACAGATGAAGTAGCAGACGGCAACTAGTGTACATTTATCACATGTATCGGCGCTGCCATTACAATTTGTCATTCGCTAAAAGATGTTTATAACAGTTCATATTTTTGCGTTATCTATTATAATCTACTAGGTTTAAGTTGGTGTTGAGTTGTGAACGTTACTTAGCTACTAAACTGAACTTGAAAGTGACGATTGTGTTACTAATGCATTTACAACAAAATCTGGTACGATCTCTTTATCTCCATCAAGTGAGCCCCCATGTCGTATTTAGGACGTATCTTCGTATCTGTAGCTCTAGTGACGTTCACACGATAAATGTCTTTAAACTATATCTATCTATTTATATGTAAAAAGACGTATATGTGTGCTGGTGGACTGTAGCTAAAAATTGTAATATTTGTCAAATTATTTTATCATACTTTGATTTTCTTTATAATAATTTATCTATCATGTATCATTGTTTTTACAATTCGTGTTAGATTAGTAGTGGCATTGGTTACGTTTTCATTGCAACCAAAGAATTAAGAAAGTTTTTGTAAACTATAGTTAAATTAGCTACAGTCAGGAGAACGAGCTTATGGTGAGCGAAGTGACAGGGATCGGTTTGATAACAAATTCGTACTGCACTTTTTATATTAGTTAATGAGTTTAAGTAAAATTTATGTTTTTTGAGTATTTGCTTGTCATGCTCAGAAAGGTTTGCGGCAAGAGAACTTCTGGTTTAGAAATCGAATGTATATGTCTGAAGATAAAGCTAGTCATGTGTTTATATTGTTGTTTTATTTATTGCTTTATACCTTTTTCTAATGTCAGTGAAATGATTTCAGTTGGGAGTGATAAAAAGTAAATAAAAGCAATGTTATTTCTCATAATAAATATTATTTCAACATCCCACATAAAGTCTAGTCAATGTACAATAGAGGCGGCCTCGATGACGAATACAAATCAAAATAATATTCATGAGAAACAAATTATAAAATGAATCCGTGGAAATTTTGCACCGTCCGAAGAACGAAGATTGCGAGAATTAGTTAACCATAGGTTTTCATCAACTAGCACCTGCATAAAGAACATGCGTGTCGTACGCCCGCCATTTTGACTGACTTCAAATACAAAATGGCGACTGACTTCGGTCAGATTCAAAACGGCGACAGATTTCAGTCAGTTACAAATGACGGGTTTACCATACTAAATTTAATCATACCATTAGACCATGAGATGGACACGACGGTTTTGTATGGCGTAGCAGGAAAAACTATGGTAAAACATCCAATATCTATAAAACAAACTAAAACACTCCTTACTCCGAACTTGATTTAATAAAAATATTTAAGAAAAAATGATACCTGAAACATTTTTTTGATATTTGACTTTTTTATTTTACATATGAAAATAAAGTGATCTTCAATGATTAAAAACATTTTGGATAAGAAAGATCTTTTAATTACAATGGTTCAACCATTAAATCGGGCATCATTTTCAAATTTTGACATTTGGAATATATAAAACATTTTAGTCCGTTCGTATAAACATAAAATAAAAACTATAATTATTCTATTTATTTGTATAATTGGGCTATTAAATTATACAGCAACATTTTTCAATTTCTAATTAACATAAAATGAAGTGTTTTATGTTACAACGGTCCAACATACTAAATCTAAAAATAAAAGAAAATTAACACTAAAAGCACAAGGTCTCAAAAAGCGGCAAATAACACCACGTCGATTGACATTGACAGCTGTCAAAATTTGACATGACAGCGATTATCTATACCATAGACAATTAATACACTTTATAATTTTAAGCGTAACAAGCAAAAACAATTCGTTAAGCAACGCATTTTAAACATTCTTTTCAGGTCGACGTCCAAAAATCACAAACCTGGAGCAAGTTGAAGCTAAACAGTAAAGATAAACAAAAATCTTTGTATATACAATTATACAAAATACGCGCATTTTAACTAAAAATGTTAACAATTTGTTAACGAGATTGTGTACATTTGATTTAAAATGACAATATTCCATAGCCTGATATATTCACAAATCTAAATAAATGAGATATGTTTTGTGTCGAAGTACAAGAGAGGCAAATTCTTTGCCTTTATATGTTTTTTATGTCCAAAAAACTCAAGAGATACTGCAATGATGCATAAACGCTTTAAAAAACAAGTCATCTTTGGTTCCAGTGATACCACGTACCAATTGTAATCAATTCTAAATTAAAAACCCTTAAGTTCCTTTTTATCTAGTTTTCATTTTTTTGGAATATTCGCGTATTTTTTTTCTTGAAACGTTTGTTTTAATACGTGTATGGATAAAAAAGTGAGGCGCCTAGAGCGCGAGTGCGGCGGAGCGCTTGTCGCGGCTCTTGTTGCGCGCGAGCGTGCGCGCCTTGCACGCTGCGTTGTTCTGCAAATGCTGCAATAATATACACATATTAATACAATATACTTCTATTTAGTATCTGTTTTAATGTCATTTAGTATTTAAATGTGACTATGTTGCTGTTCCCGTGCGGTTTCATTCGATTGGAACTATAAAATCTTTACTTCATTGTTTACATTTATAAATTCTCAATTGAAAATGTCGAAATTTAAATGCTCAAATGAGAACAAAAGCCTTTGATATTGGATAATAATAACCGTTACCATGGCAACCTAGAGGTCAGCTTTTAGTTATATACATTCTAAAAATATAGTGTGACTGGTTGTCGGCACGAAGTAGTTTTTATGCTTTACTATATTAGTATAGATAATAGTAAGGTAGATGACCCGCTGCAGCTTGTCGAGGCGCGAGGGCGGCGCGCGCGGCGGCGGCGCGGCGGGCAGCTCCAGCGCGTGGCGCAGCGGCGCGCAGTGCGGCGCCAGCGCGGCCAGCCCGCCGCCCAGCGCGCCCGCCAGCGCCGCGTACGCGCCGCGCCCCGCCCACGACCGCATCTCCACCGCCTCGCCGCCCACCGCCACGCGCAGCGCCGGCACCGCGCCCTCCTGCACACACACACACACCCTTACTATACACATATACATATGTCAATCTAGTAATTGAGCGCTATTGTAACCCAAGCTACGTGTGAACTAGGCATATCTTCCAAATTAGACACCCTTACACTTTGCAACCGCACATCATGTTTTACTATTTTTTATAACTTTAATACTTTTGATTAACGAGAATAACTATAATTAACATTTATTCGCACTAGACGGGTAAGTTTTGGTGTTTCGATGTGTGCCGTTGCATGTACATACCTCGAAGTATTTGAGTATATCTCTGAAGGTGGCGCGCTGCAGCTTGCGGTCGCGCTTGGCGCGGTACTTGTGCGGGTCGCGCGCCAGCTGCTCCAGGCGCGCCTGCAGCGCCGCCTCGCTGCCGGCCCACGGCGCCGCGCCCCCCGCGCCCCCCGCGCCGCCCTCCACACAGCGCTCGTGCGCCACGGCCAGCGCGCCGCCCGCCGCCATGCGCACCTGTTGTACGGACATTCATATATACTCTATAACATTTATTACTACTAAAATTCAGATTGATGCTAGCTCATTTTTCAATTTTTACCATATGTAAAAAATTTCACATTGCAAAGGTCTTCACTTGCGACACGTTATAGGCTATTCTCATGCTATTGAAATTAATGGGTAAATAAATTGAAAAAATCGTCGTGCAAAGGACAAAACCACGTAAAAGCATCAAACAAGCAAGATTGTCATGGTATCAGAAATTAGCCAATAGCAAACGCCTTCGTTGTGATTTTTGTATTTGAATCTAGTATGGGCCATAGAAGAAAGTGAGGTACCTCAAGACTGCAAGCCTCGAGCAGCTGCAGCAGGCGGTGCGGCGCGGGCGGGCCGGCGCGCAGCAGCGCCGCGGCGTGCGCGGGCTCCGCCAGCGCCAGCACCAGCGCCCAGCCGTCCAGCGCCGCCGCGTGCAGCGGGCCCTCCGCCACCGCCGCGCCGCACACCTTCACGCTGCTGTCGCCCTGCGCACAACACACTACCGTTAGAGGGGGAGAGAGAGAGAGTTGTTTTGATTCTGAGCTCGACACACCTGGCCTGTAGCTCCCATATCTGATGGTACATTTTCCCTTTATAAAAATAGAGTAAGAGAGGCATACAGAAAGACAGAAAGAGAGAGCAATTTGTTAGCCAACAGTACTTCCATCTATTTCACTTGTATCAGTATAACTTAAACTGTATCAAATATATTGATATAAATTGTAAATGCATTTATCTAAAAATATTTCTTCAATTATTGTCTACCAAAATGTGTATGAATTAAAAAAACTGATTTGATGAATTACTTTAATGAATATTAAATGTTTTGTATATGATTTTAATTTTCATACTTTCTTCAAAATCTCATGAAAAAATTTAAATAAATTTTAATTACTAATCTACAAAACAACTTAACAAATCTTGCTGAAATTTGGCATAGATTTAAAACATAGACTACTAATGAAATTATGTTTATATTCCTGTAGGTGTCGCGGTCGATAGTAAACAGTAAGTCATAAAAGTGTACAATAGAATATTTCCAAGTGAGACGCTATAACAATTGTCTAAGAGTAATGAACTTGACATACCTTGAACACTTGTGATGACTCATTTCACGTTGTGACGTCACACCGAACATATTCGGAAATGCACGGTATGGAAAACTTCGGAAATGACGTAATACAAGACATGGAATTTTTATATCTTGTTTATTGGGTCTTTGGTAAATTCACGATATTATTATTATAAAGTTTCCTATTCTTTTGACCACAAAGTATGTGTTAATTGCTATCCATTTAGCATATCCCTAACAGGTATGTTAAATAATATATTTTAAATATTTCTCATGAAACTCAGAAAACAATGTACAAAGCAATTATTATGGAGGTTTTTCGATATTTAATAATGTCATATCTTTGATAAGGTATTAAAATTATTTAGCCTGTTCATTTTTATAATTGACTAGCTATTGCACACGACTTCGTCCGCGTAGAATAAAAAAATTGTAAAAATACGGTCTAGGTTACTCAGTGATAACGTAGCTTTTTAGTAGTTTTTTTTATTTTTTAATACCCCCGAGGGGGCCCTAGTAGCATAACACTAGTATAGATAAGCGTTGTTACATTTTATGTGTTAAATATTAGACATATTGAATTCCATGTACATAGGTTTTTTATTAAATACAAAAGCTAGTTGCTCACAAAGATATAAAAAAAAACTTAATAGTCTTCTATGTTCTACATTTACATCCATCCATCCAAATTTTGGCATTTGTAACATTAGTATGAAGTATAATTTTTTACCTTAAGATAGCTGCCGCTGAATATGGTCTCGTACATTCGCAGCACCTCAATGATCTCTGTGAAGTCTTCCTCCAGCAGGTAGCACAGCACCGCCAGCGACGAGCAGCACTGCATACATACGTAAATATTGACAAATGTATAATAAGTAAGAAAAAGATAGCCAGTCAACATTAAAAATATCATCTTATTGACTACAAGAGTCGGTGGCTCAGGGTTTGAAGCATTACATTTGTAATCTACAGATCCTGAATTCAAATCCCACGACATACCAATGTCATTATCGATTTTTTTATTTTACGTTACATGAATATCAGAAAATTTACCAGACGAAAAATCTTGAATTTAATTATTTTTTAAATTGTACCAGACGTTTTTATGGCAAAGGAAAACATCGTGATGCCTGCACATATCAGTGAAGATATGTGTAAAATCAACCAACCCGCAGTATGCCAGCATGGTTGACTAAGGTCGTAGGCCTAGTCTGTCTAACTTAAGGAAGGCTAAGAGCCCCTCGGTGGGGCAATATACTGAGCTGGTGATGGTGATGATGGACTACAATTCTATGACGTTGATATGAGGTAAAAATGGCATACATACATCAGTTCTAGTTTCAATCGAAGCGGACTTGTCTGTGCAGGCGGCGAATAACGCGGGTCGCACCTCCTTCATGAACTCCTCCGTGCCCTCCTCACCTATCTGCAAGTGTTTGTGTGTTTAAACCTTCATCCTCAAAGCACATGTAATCAAAGACAGGAAAAATCATGTTCAACATTATCCACAAAGTTTACTACAAAGCATGGACTGAAAGTCAATACAAATGTTTATGCTAGAAAACTTTTGTTAGGTTGGGTAGATATACTAAGGTGTTGAGATCATACATGGTAGCTTGTAACTACATATGAGTTACCCAATAAAAGCGCAGATATAGCCGGGAGTTGATACGGCTAAATCTGCGCTCTGATATTCATGGATTGCATGAATGAAGCAGATCAATAAACTAGCTCATAGATCAAACCAATTTGTAATCTACGCAGGTACAAATTGAGTACTTATGAGTTGGGTAGCTGCTAATTTAGTTGTTGAGCGGCTAATTTAGTTTAAAAAGAAAAAAATCATGCATTTAAGGGTTAACTTTTTAGTGTGTACACTAGCTAGTAATATAAAAGCTACGGGACATTAGCAGGGCTCCAGGGCTGCATACCTGCAGAGCGAGCAGCGGGGCGAGGTTGGCGGCGGCCCTGCGCTCGGCGTCGCGGCCGCGGCGCAGCGTGCGCGCCACGTGGTCGGCGAGCGTGGCGCGGTGCGCCGCCAGCAGCCCCGCCAGGTAGCGCCGCTGCAGCGCGCCCTGCAGCGAGCACAGCGCCTGCGCACGCGCAGCGCTCGCCCGCGCGTTGAGACTCTCTATCAACTCTAGCACCTTCTCCTCTAACTTCTCTTGTACATCGTTTTCTGCAAACACATTTTAACTTTTAATGTTGTAATAATAAATACATGAATAGATTTATAACCAAACATGTCTACTCAATTTTCATAGTTTTATTCTAAAAGTTCTAGTCTATATGAATATTATAAAAAGGTAAGATTTGTATTTTTATATGTATTGAAATTAAAACTCTACTGTGCTGATTTTTAAAATTCTTTCACAGTTAGAAAGGTAATTTATCTGCAAGTAACATAGGCTATGTTTTTTTAATTTTCCGCGGACGAAGTCGCGAGCAACAGCTAGTATAGTTTAGTTAAAAAAAAGAATTTAAAATACAAACCTGCATCTTCATGGTTGCTCTTCAAGTCGGATTGACCTGATATCTCTGAGCAATTGTCTATGGTCATATCTATACCAGCATCTTCATCTGAAGAGTATGCTTGCTCCGTTCTTTTATGCTCTGTGAAATAAACAAATTATATCTTTAAGCACACCATAATTACCATTATACATGTCTTTCACATATTTATGTCTGATTCTTAATATGCTTTTGTATTTGGCTATCATTTTAAATCACATTCAATGCACCAAATTAAATGTGCTAAAATTGAATGAATAATATTTTAGTGACATTATTTAAAGTTGAACTTATAGACTGACACAGTTATGTGATCTAGTGGCCCTAAGTGAAACTAAATTAAGACATTACTCTAGCACCTTGTCACAAGATTTTTTTTCATACTTTAACTGTATTGCCATATTATATTATTTATACAATTTCTATTTTTCTTATTTATTATTATTCGATTTATTATTATTATTATATTTTACAGTTTTACAGAATGAATCCCGTTGCAACACTCTTATATGTCAAACATGAACTGTGAAGTGTATGTAGCCAATATCTATTGGTATGAATTGGCACTTGTGACAGGAAATAAGACTATTCAGCCAAAAAAAGGCTTATTTGTCAACCAATTCATATTTGTGATAATTAAAAGGAAATAATAGTTGTCTAAATATACATATAATTTACACATAAAAAATTATTTTATTTATAATGGAACTTAGTTTAAAGTTTACTTGAATCTTTTAGTTTAAGTGAGTATTTATAATTATTTTAAAATTTATTTAAATACAAAGAGATTTTTTCACTGTTGAAAAATCATACAAAATGTTATACAATTTGAATGCTGTAATGTTCATATGTTGAACCATGACCTACAATGTAACTTTATCTATTACTTTCAATTATATTACACAATATTTATGCAACATTAAAAATATTTTTTATCAGTTGAAGCTTACGACCTTGAAAATTAACTAAAAAATATGGAAGTCTCTGGTAAAATTTGATTACCCAAAATTCAAAGAATGTTTGCATAAGACTGATGAATCTCTACTGATATGAATTACATAATTTACGAACAAGGTAAATAAATCAAGGTCAGGTCATTTGTTTACAGTAGAGATAAAAATATAATATCAATGCCAGAAATCGCTTATAGACATTGGTACTTAGAAAACACGTGTGACAATTCGTTGTTATGAAATGTTGAAAGTAACAGTTGTGTTGTTGCATTGCAAAACGCGGAACTTAAAGCTTTCAAGACCTCGACGACCATATGGTTTCTACGCTAGGCCGACGTTGAATTAATAATCGAATGTGAAATAAGTACGTGGACTGTCATTAGTGCGGACTTGAGTTGCGAACACAAGGTCGCCGCGTGATCTCATTCCTGGCAAATTCCAAATTTGATAGTTGACAAACAAAGAAATAAACGACAATTACTTTTATGAATATTGTGAAAAAATGATGAACTTACCGTATTTACCCTTTTTCTTTCCTTTTGGCATCTTGATTTTAGAACGTCGCTGACTTACACAAACAAAAAATATATTCACTATTTATTATTTACCTATACTTCTCACTTAATCAAGAAGGAGAAAAGTTTATTATATCAGTTCTTATACAACAATTTGGGCACCGAATGTAACATAAAACTAAAATTTCAGAAAAACTTTTTAACATGTTTAACCGTGTATCATGCACACACGACTCTGCTGCTTTGCGCAATGCGCTTTGTCAGCCTGTCACTTTTGTAAGGATTTCACGTCATGCGTCATATAAGTTACCGCCATTTTTCATTTTGTGTTGCTAGCTTTTTATTTTGTGTCATCGAGTTATGATGAATAATCGATTCCCTTAATCGAACTCTAGATTATGGATTCCACTCTAAATAATACCCTATAAGAGATAAATGATTTGATAATTAAATCGTAGAAAGAGTCGTAACAATATGATCGTAAATTAATTCTTTTAACAAAGACATATAAAAAATGTAAGAGCGTCTATTAGACACACACAACCACCATTCTCCTTCTTTTTTATAGCAATGTACCTCTGTATTACTGTGTTTCATATTACATAACGTACATATTACGAAAAAAAACCCTGGGAGTTTTAAAAGCGATCCGAGGCGTTTTTAGATTTAAGGAATTAAGGAAGACGACCTTTGACATTGTAATTTTCTGACTAGACCTCGGTAATACACAAAAGTAAGCTTTTAATGCAGATTAAATTGTACAAATACGTTGTCGATTGTTATCGACGAAATGTTTTTCGTTTGACAAATCGATTTCGGTTTTCGATTCCTTAAGTTGCCATAAGCAAAAACATTTGTTAAATTTTTCATTGCACCATGTTATTCAAAACCAAGAGTCGTATAGATGTTGCAAACCATTGCATTAAATTATAAAATGTTATGTTTTGATGACAAATAATTTCAGCTAGGAATTTGTGCTTCGGCTTATCCATGAATTTTACTATAAACTGCTATAAACAACAAAAAAGAAAGATTCTAGTTTAGCTTGGTATTTATTAAACAACAGTGTAAATAGAATATTCTTTATAGATGAGTAGCAAACAAACACTAGGTTTACTATTGTTGTATCAGCGCAAAGTTACATATGGGTTTTTCGTTATTTCACTTTGACGCAACTTAACGTAATGCGGTTACGTTATGCAACTATGATCGGCGCTAAATAAGTATGTAATTGGAAGATATATTTTGTACTGTTTTGTTGCAATCACTACTTAATACTTATGTTTTAAAATTATTTAATCTAAACATTTCAATAAAAATTCTTACTGGAAGTAAAAACGCACGATTATACTGCGATAACTTTAGTCAAGTAAATTAAAGTTATTTTTTTAGAGTTTCATAACAAAGACCCCAACAAAAAATGGATAGTTTTCGAACTCATTGCACGCTTTCGATTTAATTTCTGTAGTTCAAGAGTCAGACTATATTGAATTAAGGCTGGCAAGGTTTATGGCAATAACTGGGCTCATATTCGTATTTAAATTTTTTATATTTTAAAGCGGTACAATATTGAGTCAACATAAATAAATCTCATTCATTTATTAAAAATATATAAATACATTTCTCTTACAGGAACATGTCTTTGGCTTCCTACAATATACATACTAATCCCTATAAATATAAAAGTTGAACACAACAGCACAGATTTCTAAAGTGAAATAAAACACAAAAGTAAAATAACTCCTAAATGTATACTGAGAACTTGTGAACTATTCCTTTGCTCCTGCGCCCGCTCGTCCTTCTGACTGTTGGTTGGATCCCTCCATCGTGCCTTCATTTCCTTGGAACCCGATAACTTGCCGTACCTGAACTCTGCACACTGCACTGTCACCATCGGCGGAATACCTTGAAAGATCAACCTCGAACTTTGTCTTTTCAACGACAAAGACCCTCTCGTTTCTTCAATTTCGTGGCCGTTTATGTACCACCGTATCTCGGCGTCAGGTGCGCCGCGGCAGTACGCATGGATTTCATCCTCGTCGCCGTACTCCTCGGCAAGGCCCTCCAGCAGCGGTCTTCTGTGCTCATGGCCATGGACCTCCATGTAGGCGGTTCGCGTCTCGAATTTGTACGGAGGCACGTCCCTCTCTATGTCACATCTGTAGAGGCCCGTCGCCTCCTCTGTTAGAGCGCCGAGTCGCAGCCGGCAAGTTGCGGGTCCACAGGCGATCAGCTCGACCCTGCCCACGCCGAGTATAGGGAAGGAACGTGTGCTGGGCGCGGCGCCCGGCTTGTAGCGGAAGAACTCGTTGGGCCCTTTGAACCAGTTAAGGAGGGTGAAGTTGGCGTCATAGCGGCACTCTATCTCGACGTCGGTGACGCCGGGCGCGACCACCTCGGGCACGATGAGGTGCGTGATGTTAAAGGTGCGCGCGCGCGAGACTCTCGCCAGCAGGAGCAGCACGTACACGAGGTACGGATAGCGCAGCATGGTGCCGGGGCGCGCGCGCTCGCAGCACTGGCTCGCGCTCCCGCGCCGACGCCGCACTTAATTAATCGCTTTATTAAAGTCCAACAACTCCGACACTTAACCGTTCCCTACTCCCGTGGGTGCGATACCGAATTTAATTTTTTTTTGTCAATCCCAATTGTTAGACAAACTTTTAATTGGCTAGGGGTGGTCGGTAAATTAGTCGGGGTGCCATTACAAAGATAAGAATGTTGTATAATAGATTTATGGAACGTAAATTAATTTACATTTCTTTACTACATCATTAAATTAAGTAAAAATTGTGAATAAAACGTTATTTTCATGTCTAACTTGCAAAAATATGTTCCCGTCCAATAAAGATGAATTTATACACAATGTGAGTCATCACAGACGGCACGGGGCGATACTAGGTCATTCATACCTGGCCAACGATTACGCTGTATAAGTGAAATACTTATTCACGTGCCGTGAGTAACACGTGTTGTTATTGTTGGTGCAACATTTCTAAAAAAATCCTTGACAAACATTATGAAATACATCGACTGTTTAAAAAAGGAGTTCAACTATTACTGTAAAAAATTAAAACAATTACAAATTTTGTCTATTACATTTTATGAGAATGGACAGAAGATAATATATAAGTCATTTTGGGACGCGCAAGCATTGAAAGGGTTGAAGGTGGCGGCTGTAGCGGTTATTGCACGAATTATGATATGTGTCATCTCATTTCGCGGCTCAACGGTACGGAGTAACTAATATCCGCTCTGATATTAAAAATCCGGACAGATTGAAGCAACAATGAAACTCAAATCATTACTTACTTTTATTAATATTATACATTATAATAATTAAAAAAGTATAAAAAAGGTTTCAGACAAACTTTGACTGGTCAATTCTTATCTTCCACCGCCTAAATTTATCTCAGGGATATTTGCATATAACCGAATTTTCTGTCAACAGATTATTTATATTCTTCAAATTATGTTTGATGTTTTTTCGGATTAATAAAATACCTAATCAAAAATACTTATTATCTTGAGTTTATAAGAACAATTGGTCAGGTATTTGGATCGCTCTAGAATATTTTGGGCCAGCGTCACCATGGTCTGTGCAGGGTCACCGGCAATAGCCCACGCGCCTCCTCTCGGAAACAACACATTACAATTTTATTAGCGGTAATCGTCTTAAGTGTTATCAGCCTAATTGAATAATGCATCGGCATAGTAAGGAGCGACTGCTTTGTTTTATTATATCTGTTACAACGCTACGCACTCGGCGTTGTCTATGGATTTTAAACAACTTTGTTATTTAAGCAGATATAAAGGTAATCTGTCGAACTTTCCAGACGATAATCCTTACTTAATACGATTTATAATTAATAAGTAAGACCACAAGTTAAATTGAGAGTAATTAATTGTGGTTATACGGATCTAAAGTTATTATATGCATCCATCCAATCTTTCAATCCCGTCTTTCCCTCCCTTTCTATATTGTTTACCTATAACTAATTTCATTGTTACATACGTAGCAGTAAAGTTGTTTCATTAACATCATGTAACCTCCTCTTTCTAAATAAAAACACTAAGGTGAACACAAACTGACAAACCGCTTCGTATATAGAAAAGTATATGGTCATTGTAACAGGATATGAGTGGCGCGGGTTGAGGGGAAGGACGAGTGATTCTTGAATTGATTCCAATGACGCACTCTAATAGAGATAGCTGGTCACTGGCCACCTTCTTGATCTTGGATTACCAAGAAGTATTTACCAAAAAGATTTAAAAAAATATTGCAGTTATATATAGTTTTGTGAAGACTAGATGAAGAGGCATTTACAAATTGTGTATTCGCTCCAATTAATGTTTAATATTGAACATTTTTAAAACATTATTTTGACCAACATATCAGTTAGGGGACCTAGATGCTCTTTGCCGCTTTGACCTAATCCGTTGAGATTGATTTATCTGAGATGTTTTGTTGAATATGTTTACATTCAGGGTGTAATTCCTTGTGACAATATGTGGTATATTTAGAACGCAATGAGGCCGCTATATTGCTTAAAAAGATTTCATTAAACATGGTTTGTTTTAAGTATGTAGATACATATTTTTTTGGTAAAAGATCGGCTGTTTGAATTGAACATTTTATTACTCTATATAAAATTTATTACTGGTTAACAAATTGCCAGTAAAGTAGCCCAGTAGCGATCAATTTCAGCGCTGGCGTACAACTGACATATTGTAAACACTAACTGGCGCTAGTGAGTCCATAAATTCCATGCTGGGTCTGCACTATTTTCCAATTGTACTGGCCTAAAGTAAGTCAGGCATTGACCTGACGTATCACTTGAAGAAAAAAAGTTACCAAAGAAACGAGTCCACTTTTGCATGGAAGTCAATTCCTCTTTATTTAAATTTGACATCATTCAAAAATGTCCTTCTCAATTAACCTTTAAATCTAATAAAAAAACCGCCACCAAGCCATTATCCGTTCAGACAAGAACAGATTTATTTATTCAAGGTTAATAGAGAATTAATTGGTAGTTTCAACATTTTGATATGTCGTTGGTTTAATAAAACTTCATACAATGTGATACATTTTCGTATTAAATGAAATTACATGCATATGTGTGTAATCTGGTTGACTCAAGCATACATAAATTCAAAAGCCTAAAAACATTTTTTGAATTATAAGTTTTTGGTTCATAACAAAATATTAATTAATTCCATTTTATTATAAAAGCTCTACATTACAGTTTAAATATAAGTGACAATGTGATAATTAAGTATTAATTATCAATTTGTACCCTAATGCGGGACATGATAATAATCTTTCGTGGGGTTTTATCATTTGAAGAAATTAGTTACGGTGTGTTTAAATTATTTCCTTTATTTTGTAGTTTAGCGCCATCTATACTCACTTTCCTTAACTAGAGCAATCGTTCAAGAGAACTTAAATAAACAAAGTATTAGTTTAATTTTCAACCGTAAGATGGCAGTTTATTAAAAATCAGTAGGATGTTTTGCTCTCTCATGTTTAGTCGGGCACAAACAAGATCAGTTAGTTATTTTTTCTTTGTTTATGCATTTCGGAAATGCCATATCCACTAGTTGATTAAAAAAAGTACATCAAGTTTTCTTTTGCCTTTTAGAACTTTTTCCATTATATTTATCGATTAAATTAAGTCGTAGCCAGTTTTAAGCCTCAAAAAGTAAAGTTTGTCCGTGCTTGAGGCCAGGTTGCCCCAAATTTTCCCTCAACCCGAAAGCAGTAATAATTCGAAGTATTCGTACGGATTCACCTTTACTTTGAGTGCAGAATGCGAGGCAAGTTTGAAATGCCAAGTATTTACGGTGAACAAAGTGGAGGGGGTGAGGTTTATAGGGATTTTATTGCGATTTACGTGGTAGAGCTTGGTCGCAACGGAATATTTTGCTATCAAAGAGTACAAAGTGGAAAAACGCTCGTGGATAAATTAAACTAAAATTAACCTCCCTTGAACATAGGAACTTGGTCAAGATTTTTACGCCACCCTTTTTTAGGGTTCTGTTAGACTGTGTAATTCACAGGACTGTGGCGTCCTTTTCTGTCCATCGCCCTGAACTGTCACCCAACCGCGCTATACTGTAATGCCTGTCCTGGGTTATACTTATTGTTCTTAAGTTAATTGTGGATTAACACTGCGGATTAATAGAATCCTACGTCTGTTTAATTTCGAAGTTCATTTGCTATTAATTCCGTCGTAAGTCATTTGGCGGGAAGTTTTGGGAGTGCGGCAAATAATAATGATCGTGAATAGAGACTGCAGAAGGCAGTCAATGAAGCCAGCAAGTTTGCAGACTATCTGCCAAACTGCAAACAGACGTACAAGTTTCGGCAAGTTACGTCAGAATATCGCTAATCGAAGCCACATCTATTGTGGTGCAATAAATGTTAATTATTTGAAACATTTTATAATGCTTTATTTTGTTTTTCGCAGACAGTCGCATTTTTAATTAGCAAATAGTGTTGTTTTCCAGTATTTTTTGTGAGATAAATATAATATAAAACAAATTGTTGATTATGGCAACACCGTTCGTCACTGATTGCTCTCCGTATCTCAGTTCCCGTCATTAGTTTTAGCTCAGAGCTTTCGCTAACGTTTCCCTTCCTGAATTGATTATGTTCAATCAGATTGAATGGCAGCCATTTATTGGGTCGCAAATGTATTGTTATGATTTTGCCTCATCCTACGGAAATTATTACCTTATTTATATAATAATGAGACGTTTTTGTTTATCTATTGGAAATGGTAATGTGATAATAACGTTACAAATAAAATAATTAGTGGAAAACATTAATTTGTTTTAAATTTTAAATAAAGAACAATTCTATTCCATATTTAAAATTAACACTTCCGGAGATATCGTCATTTTAAACTTTTATGTTTTTATTATTGATGGCCAGCTCTATTTTTAGACTTTTTCTCTATGCTTTACATCTCTATTTTTATTTTTCATTTCTTTGTGCATCTTTGTCTTGTAAGACCAGAAGGAGCATGAAATAAAGTGAACTCGGGTACTACAAGAAGTCATATAAAGACGATATTTGACGACGATATTATTGTTTTATTGTCATACGGTTTATTAAATTCGTCTGCAGACGACTGCTAACGGCTGTTTTATGTTCTTGTGTTTGCGTTGTGAGCTAAAGGGGACTACTAAGTGTGCTTTATAGGTGATATTAATGGGGAATTCTTCAATAAGTAGTGTCTATATAATTTTTAATATCGACGCTCTTGAGCTCTCTTTCAGTTTACAGTTATAGACGTGCTCTGCATTTATTTATAACGCAAAATCGTTAGACAACGAGTTATTTTTGATATTAAACGGTGGTATTCTAGATTATTTCATTTTCAGTGTTTAGTCGAGCGCTTAATCAGTATGAATATGTATGAATGTGCATACATTACACAGATTTGATTTTATATCATTTTGGCTTGACACACCAAGAGGATAATAGCATGGGCCTATTAAATGTCTTTATACTGTAAGGGTTTTAAG